TGTCCATCGAGGAGTGCACGGACGAGGGGATGGATGAGCTGTTCTTCCTGGCTCCCGCCGGCTCCGAGCGCGACAGCGACTCCGACGACCTGTTCCTGAGCGCCCACGACGAGCTCAGCCCCCTGGGGGCTTCCCTGGAGACCCCTGAGGGGCCCCCGGAGCCCCCAGAGACTCCAGAGATCCCCGATATTCCAGAGATACCGGAGATTCCAGAGACCCGGGAGATTCCAGGGGTCCCGGCACCCCCCGGTGCCGCAGCCCCCGACACGCTCACAGAGGAGGATCCTCCAGGGGAGGGGAACCCCCTCCCAGACCCCCCCGGGGATGTGGGGCAAGGGGAGGGGGCTGCAGGTGGTGCTTCCAGCCCCAGGACAGACTCCGAGGTGTGGGAGGAGGATGGAACAGCCCCGGGAGGGGTCGTGGTCCCCGGGGCTGGATCCTGCCCCCCCATCCCGGAGGAGCCCCGGGGGGGCGAATCCCAGGTTTTAAGGGCGTCCCCGCAGGGATTGTCAGCGGAGGAGCCCCCCTGGGAGCCCCCGGAGCCTCCAGTTCCTGGATCTGTTCCCGGGGGGCCCCTCGGGCCCACCCCGAGCTCTCCCTCTCTCTCGGCCCTGGAGCTCCGCAGCGACTCCCCCAAATCCCTGGAGCCGAGGGGGGATGAGCTCCCCCAAAACCGGGAGCTGAGCCAGGGCGAGCCCCCAGAAATCCTGGAGCGGGTCCAGGATGAGCTCCCCGGAGCCCCAGAGCCCCCTAAACCCCTGGATCTGATCCAAGATGAGCCCCCCAAAATCCCAGAGGCCCCCAGACCCTCAGAGCCGATCTGGGATGAGTCCCCCAAAAACCCAGGGCTGAACCAGGATGAGTCCCCCAAAAACCTGGCTCTGATCCATGGTGGCCCCCCCAGCCCCCCGGGGACCCCCAGCCCCCTGGAGCCAATCCAGGGCGAGCCCCTCAAAAGCCTGGAGCCCCCCCAAAACCTGGATTTGATCCTTGGTGACCCCCCCAGTCCCCCAGCGACC